TGTGTCTTTTGTAATTTTTAATTTTATTTAACTTATATTGGCAAACTTATCCCACTTTGATATATCTGATACCACTGGACCTCTCTGATCACTCTTGATCTTTGACCCTGCTGTCACTTCTGACCCATGACTGTCCTCCAGTCTTCACTTTCCAAAGCTTTCTCGCTTCTGACTCTCCTGACTTCTTTGGCTTGGCCTCCCCCCAGGTTTGTGAATGGGGCAGGTTACTTTGCTGCTGTGGCAGATGCCATCCTGCAAGCTCAAGAGGAGATTTTCATCACAGACTGGTGGTAAGTGGGGGGAAAGAAGCCCGAGAAAGAAAGGGTGGAATCGGGCCTACAGCAGATCAGCTTATAGGTCAGAGGAGGGAGTGGAAGGAAAGGAGTGGCTGGTTGTCTGGGGCTTAGCTTACCTTCCTCACCTCTGGCCCTGAATCCTAGGTTGAGTCCTGAGATTTACCTGAAGCGTCCGGCACATTCAGATGAGTGGAGACTGGACATTATCCTCAAGAAGAAGGCGGTGAGGAGAGTGGTCAGGCTGAAGGGGAGGTGTGGCAGGGTTGTCTATGGGTGGAGGTTGGTTAGAAGGGACTGCAGCATGGGGTAAGATAAGGAATCTGAGGCTTTGGGGGAGGAAACATGCCCATCCTGGCTCAGTGTCCGGCAAACATTACCTCCTCCTCTTCCCTAAGGAGAAGTGACACCTCCCTCTTCATGTTCTTCCCCTACCTGGTATAGACCTCCCTTTCAATACCCATTGCACTTTATTGTATTACCTTGGGGTGTATGTGTCTTTGTCTCACTGGATTGATTAATATCATGAGTTCTAGTACAAGGTATAGTGTCTGCCATTTTGAAGGCATCCATAGACATTGATGGATAGGAGGAAAGATGTGGGTGATGGAGAATGGATGGGTAAATAGATGGATAGATGATGGAAAGGGAGATAGATGAAAGGATATGAAGTTGGAAAGGTGGATCAAAAGGAGGGTAGGTGGGTAGATGGATGAGTGATAGATGGTATATAAGGGGATGAGTAAATGGTTGGGAAGGTGGAAGGATAGGTAATGATAAGTAGGTGGGTAGACGTGTGGATGGATGAATAGGTGAGCAGATTGCTCACCCATTGCTAAGTGTGCTGCAAGCATCAAAGCAGCGTGTGACTGGCAGAGCATGAAAGATCTTCAAGCTGGGTGGAGGGATATCCAGGAATCCCGAGCATGGGGAAGGATTTGGGAGGGTGGAAAGGGGCCATCCTGAAAGAGACATTAGGTCTGATACCCTACTTACCACCAGGAGGAGGGTGTCCGTGTGTCTGTACTGCTGTTTAAGGAAGTGGAGTTGGCCTTGGGCATCAACAGTGGCTATAGCAAGAGGGCTCTGATGCTGCTGCACCCCAACATAAAGGTGACTTATACCTCAGAGACCCCCTCCCACACTACAGCCCTCCTCACCACACGTCCCCATTTTCTCAACTCTCCCCTTCCTTAAACATCTCATCTTTCCATCCTCCCTCCCAACACTGCCTCTGCCTTTCTCTCACCTAAGCCCTCCCCTCTCATACCCGCTTCAATTCCTCCATACCCGCTCCAGGTGATGCGCCATCCAGACCAGGTGACATTGTGGGCCCATCATGAGAAGCTCCTGGTGGTGGACCAAGTAGTGGCCTTCTTGGGGGGGTTGGACCTCGCCTATGGCCGCTGGGATGACCTGCACTACAGACTGACTGACCTTGGGGACTCCTCTGAATCAGCTGCCCCACAGGTAATCCCCCAAGGCCTTCCTGAGCTCCCCCAAACTCAGCTAATCTAAATCCACACCCCTTCCCAGCTCCAGCCTTCCCCTCCAATCATTCCAAGCATTGCCTACATTCAGAGTTCCTCAGACTTCCTGGGACCCCAAGAACCCACTTTGAAGATACAATGACCCGGTCTCTTCCCCATTTCTACTAAGCCCTCCACCCCCCAGTTTCTTTTGGGAAGTGCAGGTGAAGGGATGGGTTGGGGAATCAGAGTCTCTCTGTTTCATTCTTACTCTCTGTGTCTCTGTCTTTCTGTCTCACACTCTTTCAGTGTTCCTATCTTCTCTTTGGCCCGGGCTCTGTATGGTGCCCATGACCTCTCCTTGCCCATGGCTTGGGTGTGTTCCTCTCACAGCCTCCCACCCCGTGCTCAGACTCTCCAGCCACCCCAGACTTGCCTCACAACCAACTCTTCTGGCTGGGCAAAGACTACAGCAATCTTATCACTAAGGACTGGGTGCAGCTGGACCGGCCTTTTGAGGGTGAGGGTTCCCTCAAAGTCCCCAAGAGCTGGGAGCAGGGGCAGAAGTTGAGGCTGGGACTGAGAATGGGACGAGCTGGGTCAAGGATAATGCAGCCTTTCCTCTGGTCAGCCTCCTCCCTGCCCCAAGTATCTCTAAGAGACCATCCCTGACCTCTCTCCTGACTCTCCTGGGACCCCCAGATTTCATTGACAGGGAGACCACACCTCGGATGCCATGGCGGGATGTGGGGGTGGTTGTCCACGGCCCACCTGCCCGGGACCTGGCTCGGCACTTCATCCAGCGCTGGAACCTCACCAAGGTGCTCACTCCCTCCTATGGAGAGTGGAGGTTGAGAGGGAGCCAGGGGCAGCTTGCCACCTCCCACTGACTCTGCCATCCCTCCACCTCAGACTATCAAGGCCAAGTACAAGACACCCATGTACCCTTACCTGCTGCCCAAGTCCACCAGCACCTCAAACAGGCTCCCCTTCACACTCCCAGGGGGGCAGTGTGCCACCGTGCAGGTGAGGGCCTGACTTCAGCTTGCTCCTTCCCTACACTCTCCTTGACCTGAGAGCACCCCCAGACTTCTCCTGTCCTGGGGTCAGGAGCCACATCATATTTGCCATCCCCTCAGGTCTTGCGGTCAGTGGACCGCTGGTCAGCGGGGACTTCGGAGAATTCCATCCTCAATGCCTACCTGCACACCATCAAGGAGAGCCAGCACTTTCTCTACATTGAGGTCTGACTGGGGGGAGGAGGAGAGAGAATAGAGGGAGTGTCCCCGGAGAGAGCCTTAGGATGTCAGCAGGATCAGTGTTTTGGGTTGGCATAGCTGGGCCTGGAGAAAAGCTGAAGCCTGGGGCCCAGGCCTGGAGCCTGAAGGTGGGGATGGTGACTGGGAGCTGAGGGCAGGGGCAGTGGCCTGGCGGCTGATGTCTCTCTTTGGTCCCTGCCCCAGAATCAGTTCTTCATTAGCTGCTCAGATGGACGGACGGTTCTGAACAAGGTGGGCGATGAGATTGTGGACAGAATCCTGAAGGCCCACAAGTAAGGTGGACAGGCAGGAAGGTGGGGATTATGGGCATGCTTTAAACCCAACTGGAGGGGTGGGACTTTGGAGAGAGGTCACAACTCTGACTCTACCTCCTTCCCAGGCAAGATCAGTGCTTCCGAGTCTATGTGCTTCTGCCCCTGCTCCCTGGTTTTGAGGGTGACATCTCCACAGGTGGTGGTAACTCCATCCAGGCCATTCTGCACTTCACTTACAGGTGACCTTCTGTGGGGTTTCCATGGCCCCATCCCAACCATGCTTCCATCCTGACTCTATCCTGAGCCCTTCCTGCTGGACTTTTGAGGTCCACCTCTCTCCTGAAAACCCGCATCCCCTTCTCCAGGCTTCGTTTCCCTCACCCATTCTTTTCCCTCAGGACCCTGTGTCGCGGGGAATATTCAATCCTACATCGCCTCAAAGCAGCCAGTGAGTGCTGAGGACCAGGGGTTCAAGCCCTGGACCCCTGGGGAAGGGGAGATTGGGGACTTGGACCTGGGTGGAGGAATGGAGGCTATCATTCCTGTATGCTTCTGGGGCTACTGCCCTGATACCACAGGTGGTCTTTCACTGCAGAGAGAAGTATATAGATTGGGCTCTAAAGGGCTTCTGAAGTGAGGAGGTGGATGGGACAGGGCTCCATCTGCACATGGAGGGCACTTCTCACCTCACTCCCTGCTCTCCCTATCTCTTACTCATAGTGGGGACCGCGTGGCGGGACTATATATCCATCTGTGGACTCCGCACCCATGGAGAGCTGGGCGGGCACCCAGTCTCAGAGCTTATCTATATCCACAGCAAGATGCTCATTGCAGATGACCGGATAGTCATCATTGGTCAGTGCTGGATCTTGGTCCCTGGGCAGCAGGAGGGGTGGGGAGCAGTGGAGCAGGGCCCAGCCAGGGACAATGGGATGAAGGGAGGAGACAGAGACTGCTGTGGAAGCCCAACTGGGGATGGAAGCCAAAGAAGGTGTGTTGCCCACTGGCAGGTGTTCTGTAGAGGTGATGGGTTAGAGGGCACCCCCCTGGGCTCAGGCAGACACAGTGTATTCTGCACCCACCCTAGGCTCTGCGAACATCAATGACCGGAGCCTGCTGGGGAGGCGGGACAGTGAGCTGGCTGTGCTCATTGAGGACACGGAGATGGAACCATCCCTCATGGATGGTGTAGAATATCAGGCGGGCAGGTTTGCCTTGAGTTTGCGGAAGCACTGCTTCAGGTAGAGCTGGGGTGGGTGCTATAAGGTGTGGCTGGGAGGTGGAGGGGGGGGTCTGCCTTTTAAGCAGGTGGGAGGATTGCTTATACATATTGCTGGATTTCGCAATAGACAGACTAATCCAGTTTGGGGTACCAGCAAAGTCGGAACACCAAAAAAATGAGGAAAAAAAACCAACTTAAAATAATTTGGTATTTTTTTTTAGAGCACCAAAGTAGTTGCTAGAGACAAATGAAGGCTCTGTTGGACACTATCTTACTGTTTAGCACTGCATCCATTTTGAATAACCTGGGTAGGCACAACATAACTTCCCTGGTATTTGGGTTTTCTAAGGACCTTTATCTGGCCCTGCTGGGACCCTTTTCTCCCATAGCGTGGTTCTTGGGGCTGATTCCCGGCCAGACCTGGATCTCCGAGACCCTGTCTGTGATGACTTCTTCCAGTTGTGGCAAGACACAGCTGAGAGCAACGCCAACATCTATGAGCAGGTCGGTGCTGAGAGGGACGGGCCAGGGGGCAATTCATGGATTATCCTGATCAGGGTGGGGTGGAGAGAAGCCCCACCACACAGCCATTCTCAGAAGAGGCATGAGGGTCTGAGGGCATACCATGGGATTCAGTGGCTCAGGGTCAATGTGGGGGGAGATGATGTGGGGATGGAGGTGCCCAGCTCAGTTAGGCTTGGGCTCTTGGCAAAGTGTCCCCAAGCTTTATTGTCTTCCATGGCCCCCCACCCACAGATCTTCCGCTGCTTGCCGTCCAACGCCACACGTTCCCTGAGGGCACTCCGGGAGTATGTGGCAGTGGAGCCCCTAGCCATGGTCAGCCCTCCCTTGGCCCGGTCTGAGCTCACCCAGGTCCAGGGCCACCTGGTCCACTTCCCCCTCAAGTTCCTGGAGGATGAGTCCTTGCTGCCCCCTCTGAGTAGCAAAGAGGGCGTGATGCCCCTAGAAGTGTGGACATAGCTGTGGCTCCAGCCAGAACACGTCACCAGCCGCTGGGCTCCACTGAGTCTGGCCCCCTGATCCTGAGGACTGAGGGCAGTGCCCTGTGCCTTTGAGACCTGGGGGAGGCAGCATCTCTGAAGGGGACAAGAGAAGTCACAGAGGACCCTTTCCTGAGAAGCAGCCAAAAAGGACACTACCGGCCCTGGACTGGGGAGGCAGGAGGAGGTCCCAGAGACGTTCATCCTCCCTGCTGCCCAGTTCAAACCACTGCTACAGAGGAGAAGCAAAGCTTCTGCCAGGACACCTGGAGCAAGCCTTCCCATCTCTCCTCTCCTCCTCCTGCCCCAGGGCCTCTCCCAGCCCACTGCTGCCAAGGTGGAGGGAAGGATGAAGCCAGCCCTGGCTTCAGCCCCCACAGTGGGGAAGGGTGGGGGGTGCACACTAACTCCCCTCCCCCCAGCCTGCTGACAGACACTAACTTTGTATCAGTTCAATAAGCATTTCATAAATAAAAGCATAGAAAAAAATCTGTGCCTCTTCCTCAGGGGAACCGAGTACTTGCTTCAGCCACCACTTCCTGCCTACACATAGTACCAGGCCCCTTCACCTCGCCACCCCATTCCTTTCTTTTTTCCTGCTGTCTCCAACTACGCTGTAATTGTCTGTGGCTTCTGGAGCTTAGTCACCTAGCTGCGAGGAGGAGGTGTTCACCCAGTGCTTGCTGCCTAGGCATAAGGAACGGCAGGGCCAAACCAGGAGACCTGGAGAACAATGGAGCTGAGGGAGGGACACAGAGAGGGGCCTGGAGGGGCTGCCTCCTGTTCCTTAAGTGACAGCACTGGGAGAGGCTCAGGGAAGCCCCTTTGGGAGTGGTTAAAGGTATAGGCTTAAGATCAGAAGAACTGGGCCCAAATCCTGGACTTGTCACTTATTACCTAGGTACTTTCTCAAGTCATATTGCTTCTGGGCCTCGATCCTAGCGGAAATGGGAGTAATACACAACTGGCTTGCTGTAAAGATTCAGTCCTTGACTTAAATACTTATTGAGCGCCTGCTATTGGCCAGAAATTGTGGTAGACTCACAGAAGTGAGTACAATAAGACCCCACCCTCGTGGGGCATTTAGGCACACATGTCCTGGAGCGTCACTGTCCAATATAGTAGTCGCTAGCTAGATTTTGCCATTTACATTTAAATTAATTAAAATCAAATAATTAAAAATTTAGGGCCAGCCGAGTGGCGTGTTGGTTAGGAGCTGGCTTGGGATGCCAGCTCTGAGCAGCAGGGCCCTGGTTCGGATCCCACTTGGGGGCCAGTGACGCTGCGCCCTCTACAGCTAAGATGGTGAACAACAGCTCAACCTGGAGCTGGGCTGCCGTGGGTCGCTGGCAACGGCATAGGCTGCAGCCTCTGCTGCAGTGGGCTGCCATAAGCTACCGTGCGGGGTTGGTAACCAGCCTGAGCGGCTGGCAGCCGGTATGAGCTGGCAAGAGCCGCCGTGAGCGGCTGTCCAGAGGCTGGCCACCGATCTGCCTCACCTGGGAAGAGCACGGTGATAATACCAACATGGGCCAGTGAAGCGACGTCCTCCACAGCTAGACTGAAGAACAAAACGACAGCAACTTGTCTGTTCCCCTTCCCCCGATTCCCCAACGCTGTTCCCCTCCCCCAATTCCCCAATAAAAAATCTAAAAAAAAAAAAAATTTCGTTCCCCATTTGCACTAGCCACATTTCAAATGTTCACTTGTTGGTAGTGGCTAGCATATTGGACAAAGCAGGTATAGACCATTTCCATTATTGCACAAAGTTCTATTGGATGGTGCTGCTCTGACGGAAAGAACAGAGAAAATAAATGGTACAGCCTATGAAAACGTATAGCACACAGCAGCTTGCAAAGGGCTACCTCCTGTGGCGGTGGAGAAAAAGGGATAACAGAAGGGTATACAGAGAGACCTCTTCAAGTGAATCTGTGACTTATTAAGCTTAGTGATGGATATATGAACTTTTATATATATATATATACATATATATATATATATATTCATATCTTTTCATATATCTGAAACATTTTGCAATTAGAAAAAAGTTTAGCACCGGTCCTGGCTCTTGCCCTTAATTCCCCCAGCCTCACTCCACAGTTTCAGAATTGACCACAGGAATGGGAGTAGAGTGAGGAGTTTAGGAAGCCTTCCTAGAAGAGGGATATGCTGGTGAAGGATGATGTGCAGAGGATGCTGTTGCCTTGCTCCCATCCTTTCGAGTCCAGCCCTCCGTGCTTCTGCTCTGAAGAAGCCACTTCCAAACATGAAATCACCCCTCCCACATTTAGCGGTCCCCTGGTACTAATTGGTACTCTGCTAATTAGTCTCATTGTCAGCACTAAGTGCCTCTTTCCCTAGGGGACCATTACCTCATTAACTGTAGAGTGGGGTGGAGGTAGTGGCTGGCTGAGCCAGGGGCTCGGTGGGCTCCTGCTTCACAATGTCTATTGGTCTATGCTCCCCACCCCACATTAGTCCTGGAGTTTCCTTATTGGAGGGCACAGCAGTGCAGGGAAAAGAGCAGTGGGCTTGGAATTGGAAGAGTTGACTCTAGACCCAGGACGAAGAGAATGAATCCAGCCTCCTAAAGTTGGTGGGAGACCTTGAGGGCGACTGGGCTTGTGCAAAATGTTCATTCATTCCCCAGGAGTCCTACAATTTGTATTATTTTTAATATACTCACTTTTCTTCATGCTTGATCCAGGGCTTCTTCCACCTCATTGTCTTTCTTTAAGTTTTTATTATGGACACACACACACACACACACACACACANGAGAGAGAGAGAGAGAGAGAAAAGGATAATGATCCCTCATGTATCCACACATCCATACTCCCCTTTAATAATTATCAGCATGGGATCAATCTTGTTTTTCTACCCTCCCCACCCCCCTGATTAAACTGCCTCTTGAGGTTTGGAGGTTTATCCTGCTCCTGTGATCTTAATTTGCTCATTCATCAATTCAATATCTCTTTATTAAACACTGTTTTATGAATCAGGCATTATTAGTAAGTGTATTAAGGAACTAGTACATACATAGTGCTTTACATACCTAATGTTATTTTATCCTACCCTCCCTGTTATTATCTTTATTTTACAGATGATACAATTGAGGCTTAGAGAGATTTAATGACTTTTCCAAAGCACTAACTTCAAATTCTATGTTTTTTTTCCCCTACGATCCCATGGTCTTGACCTTGAATTACTATATACCACAGTATCTACCCAGACAATAGAGGTCTTCATTCACTTATGTGTTACTGAACCTCTCATGGTTGCCAGGCCCTGTGCCGAACATAACTGCATAATTTCTGCCTTTAAGGAGATTTAATAGGCATTTACAACTCAAAGCGTTAAATGTTACCATGGGTTTATGCCAGGCAAAAACAGAAGAGCCAAACTCAGTCTTAATGAGTCAAGAAAGGCTTCATGGTTAGCTCAGTTGGTTAGAGGGCAGTGCTCATAACACCAAGGTTGCCGGTTCGATTCCTACATGGGCCACTGAGATTGCATCCTCCATAACTAGACTGAAACAACTACTTGACTTGGAGCAGACAGGTCCTGGAAAAAACACACTGTTTCCTAATTAAAAAGAAAGAAAAAGAAAGAAAGAGAACGAAAGAGACAGGCTTCATGGAAGAGGTGATTTAGACATGTAGGACAAAGCAAAGGACAGTGAGAGTGGGCATAGTTAAGACTATTCCAGGGAGAAGAAACAGAAAGAGCAAAGGCTGGAGGAAGGTCTGCTGAATTCTGAGAACTGAGTAGAGGATTTCAGTATGGCTAGAATATGTGGGTTTGGATGATGGAATGTTGAAAAACAAGGCAGGAGAAGCAGGTAGAATCTTGAAGGCTTTGATGCTGTACTTTAGACTAACTCAAAAGACAGTAGGGAGCCAGTGAAGAGTCTTAAATAGGAGAAAGACATCAGATTTGAGTTTTAGAAAAATCACTCTGGGTATGGAGAATTGATTTAAGGGGGTCGGGCAGGGAGACCAAGAAGGAAACTGATAAGAGTAATGGAGGTGAGTTGGGATTGTGCCTTGGACAAGGACAACGGCAAGGTATTGTAAATAGGAGAGCAGGGAAGCAAGACTGAGTGAACGGTGCATCTGAAAGTGCTAAGGAGGAGGGTCCAGAAAGGAGGGTGTTAGCTCCTCTCCAAGGACTTTTTATCCAAACTCTCCTAAATAACGTTTACATTAAGGCTGGTGGTGGGCTGTTTCAGAGATAATATTGTTGCTGGAAGTGATTTTGGGGGCCAGCCTTTTCCAACACGGAAATGCTCAGAGAAGCAAAGCAACTTGCTCAAGGTGACACAGCATGTCAGTGGCGGAACACGACTCCTTGTTCTTTTCATAGCATTACTCAGCCTCCAGTGAAGCTAATGGCTGGGAGTGCTGTGCCAACATGACTAGACCTAGGGTGACTTAGGCAAGATTTGAAGGTGTTGGCCAGATTCCTCCTCCTCTCTTCCGTCTCTCCCTGCCACCACTTCCCCCACACGGTGGTCCAGTGATCAGTCAAGGAATAACTGTTGAAACAGTTCCTTTGTGCAGAACAAGAGATGCAGGGATTAAGGTCTGCGGTAAGAGTCCCTATCCTGAGATCTGAGATCCCCTCCTCAACATTCCACTCGCCACTCCAGCTCTGGAAGGGGATAAAGGGTTTTCTTGAGGCAGTGAGCCCCACCCCCTCCACTTCCCGACTCCCAAGTGGTATCTTCAGCCAAGTTCTCACTGAGAGGCTCCTCCCTCACCGGCTCCAATGTTGCCATGGCAATTAGGTGGGTGGACAGCCCATCCTATCTAGAGGCCACCTAACCCTCGCGTGGGGAGTTACCATAACAACTCCCTCTGGTAATAGAGGGGGCTGGGTCCCGCCCCCTTCCCCCGCAAATAGAGAGGTGGGTGGCTTGATTGGCAGCTGGGCACACGAAGTGGAGGGAAAGAGAAGGAAAGGCGTCAAAGGAGAGCTAAGAAGGAAATGGGGGAGGGAAAAGAGCAAAAAATAGGGAAAGGGAAGTAAATGTGTGTGCGCACGCGCGGGAGCTGGTGGGCGCACTCCGCGGCCGCCTCGGCCGCCGCCCACTTCTTTCACGCCCGGCTCGCGCGGTCGCTCAGTCCTCGCGCGCGCCTTTCGCTATCTCTCCTGCGCCTGCGCGCAGGTGTCGGTGCCTGGGGGTGGGGGGAACCCGGCGCGCTCGCGTCACATTCTCTCGTCCGCCCTCCCGGCGCTCGGCCACACCGCGCTTGCGCAGGAGAGTCGGGAGGCTCGGGTTGCAGGCTCCCGGACGATAGATAGCTCCTGTCAGCCTGTGGGTCGGTCCTCCCGCCGGCCCTCCCCATCTCCGTTCCCTGGGGGAGGCGCGGTGGAGTCCGCCCCCAGGATCCCCCAATGGGGGAGAAGCGGCGACGGCGGCAGCGGAATAACCGAGCAGGAGCGTGAGCGGCCCCAGGCCCCCATTCCCTGCGGAGGCC